AAGGCACAAACAAGGGCACCCACATTTGCTCTCTCTAAGAATTTTCTGCTCCTACTCCCCAGTTTCCCTACAGGCAATTGCAGGATACTTTTTGTTAGGCAAAGGAAATGTTAAGGATTAGTTCAGATTTCACAGGAGACCAAAGCATCCTTTTATGTCATCCTCCTGTGGCTGACCAACCAGGCTGTTACCTTGGCTACCTTCACCAAGTTCTTGCTCTTGTATGGGCTGAGCTCTGCCCAGTACTTCACTTGAAGACTTGCTCATCTTTAGACATATACAGTTGTGCTTACTGACTTTTGTCCTTCCTGATTCAGCTGCACAGTGCTGTGTGAGCTTGAGCAAGGCACGTAATCTGTTTTTGCTCCAGTCTCCTCGACTGCAGGAAGATAATGGCTCTTAAGAGTTTTTATTAAGAGGAAATTAAACTTTACACACCTTTACACAGACCGGGCTTTGAACTGAGTATACTCTGAAAGTGTGCTTTTCATGCCATGTGTTTTTACTGTAAAGCTTGTGCTCTGAAATGCCTGTTAAGAGTTGGCCCTTGGAGTAGCCTTTCTTTAGGTTATTGTCTGCAAAATCAATCTGTGCAGAAGCAGCACAGGGATTAGACAGACTTCTTTCTATTTATTGCCACATTCAGTCTCAGAGAACACACCTCACATTTTCCTTTCTAGCTCCTGTTCTTGTATTTTGAGGCAGAAAATCCCTAACTTATTGTTCAGCCCAAGCTCCATGAGTGGCTTTGTGTAAAGGATTTAGGGCTGGACCATTCACGTTTGTCTGTGTAGCACTTTGCATGCGTTTGGTCTTTCAGCAGAAGAGTTCAGTCACGTTCACACTCAAATTCCAGCCTTCCAAACTTCCTGCAGCGTGTGCTGCGATGCCCCTTTAGATTGTTGTTCTTGCCCAAATATTATTTCGGGATTCATCTTTGGAAAATGGGCCAAAATAATACAGAAGGATAACAGCCTTGAAAAACATCTGCCCAGTGGAAATAGAAGAGACCACAGCAGCAGCACTGTGATTTACAGCAGCCTATTGCCTACTGGGAAATGAGCATTAAGGACAAATTCACAAGGGAGAAACTAGACCCTAACTGCTTTGGTTTGGCTACCAAGGGCAACAACCTGCAAGTTCTGCCTCTGTGTTGTTGCTTTGGCAACTCTCACAGCGCTGGTGAGATGTTTTTATACTGCATGTCGATACAAATCTAGCATTTCTGGGAGCAATGAGATGAAATTCATCTCAGAAGTGCTCGCATGTTTTACAATTCATTGTTTTCACTTAATGTGTTGCAGTATATCGCAGTAAATGTGCTGTTACACTTTTAGCTTGCTAAGCTTCTTGTTAAGGCATCACCGTAATTTTCCTTGTTAGATTCAGGTTTTCGTGTTTGTTCAGTTGTCTTCCTACAGGTATAGGATGTGTTTTCTTAAAACACATCTGAGCAAACATTTTGTGAATTGGAGCTTGGGCGAGATAGACAGCAGCATAACCAAAACTAAGACCTGTGAAGTTATTTTATTATGAATTTTGCAGTTTGGTGGGTAACTGGTGCTTGGGGAGCTTGGTGTGACACTCAAAATATACTGCTGTTTATTAAGATGGCTGAGCAGTGGATAGATGGGAATGGAATCACAGAATCACACAATGCCTTGGGTTGGAATAGACGTTAAAGACCATCCAGCTCCTGGGCTGGTTGCCTCCCAGCAGATCAGGCTGCCCAGGGCCCCATCCAACCTGGCCTTAAGCACCTCCAGGGGTGGGGTATCCACAGCTTCTTTGGGCAAATGCAGAGGATGCTTCACCATGGCTGTCCACATTCTTGCATTGGTAGCCTGGAAATCCTAAGGCTCCTCATTTAGTATTTCAAGGTTGAGGCTTTACAGCTCAGAACCCTGTGAAACTTGTCCTTCTAGGCACACCATTACGTGCTGCATGCTTCCTGCATTCGGTGGGGCAGTGTGTGCAGGAGGCTTTGCAGCTCACAGGGTATTTTTTGTTGTGGCTCTTAACAGTGTGCCCCAGGCTTCACTAAATAGACAACCTCATTAAAAGAGGAATAGCGATAGTAAAGCAGTGACTTTCTCATGCCATCTAACTCACATATTTGACATGATTGCTAGGCCCTCCAAGTACTTAATCGATTGACTTAATTGATTTAGTGGCACTGGAGGCTACGGCATGGAAATAAAGGGACAAGATGAGGATAAGGGGTGAAAAAATTTATGATAGGTGCCAAGCAGCCTGAGGGAAATTAGAAATGCTACAGATCTCAGAAGTAGCTAAATCAATTCCATGTGATGTGCAGGGAGGGGTGAGGGGAGAGGAGAAGAAGCAGGAGATGGAGTGGCAAAGGGGAGAGAAAATACTCCTGGGCTGCAGGGACTGGGCCAAGCACAAGGGGCTGATGCATTAGGGATGGTGCCTAGGAAGTATTTCAGACTTCCTTCTTTAACAGCAAGAAATGGCATCTGAACATATGAATAAAATGTAATATAGACATCAGGTTTAGCCTGGGAAGAACAACTGTTGCAGCACATGACTTAGCTGACACAAGGCTTTGTCAGTGCTTGCATTTTAAGATCGTAAGTGTTTTCAATAGTGACTAAAGTCACACGAGACCTAAAATAATTTGGAAGCTGTGTACAGTGAATTTATTTAACAACTGAAGCTTAATTGTTAAATTACTTTCTAATCTGCGCAATATTTAATTGACTGTATTGAACCGTGGTACAAATTAAGTCTTCTCTGTAATGTGTTCTGCCATAGTGCAGCCCTCCACCAATCCCACACCTCACTGAAGGCGTGCTAAATGGCTCATGGCAGCACTCAGCAAAGGTGCCATAAAAACATCAAATAGTTTGTGATGGACTCCAGCAGCATGTGCATATGGGGGTGTCATAAACATCCCTGAGCTATGAAATGCTCCTTTATAGGCTCTTGACCCACTAGAGACAGGATTAAGTCGTGGTAAAACCCTAAAGACAAAAGAGCCAGAGGAGCTGGGGGGGAGAGGAGGGGCTTTACAAAAATGATGCAGTCCTGACCTGGTGTTTTACAGTGGTGAGTCTGTACCAACTGCAGCAGGTGTCATTCCTGCTTAATGATGAGCAAAGAGTCAGACACTCGTAAAATAATATTTGGAAGAAAGTGCTGGAAAATGTAAAAAGGACACAGTCCATGAATCAAGCTCTGAAGGCATAGTTTCAAAGGAGTGCTTGTACCTTCATTGTGGTGCAGATGTGTATGCAACGTTACGTTTTATGTGTATGTTCCAAGCCAGTATCCCTCAAACAAATAGAAAACTCTGCCTGCTCCATACAGTGAAGCAAGATGATGTTGCAGTCACCTTTACTTAATTTGTGCAGTAGATGAGGTATGGTAACCATTACAAGCGTAACAATTTTCCAATAGTTAATGAGGGTTCCCGAATAAATCGGAGCGTCTCCATCTGCTGTCTTACACTGTGGGCGATCTTTTGCCATGGTAGAATGGTCTTCAAATTTAATTCCATGAGGAAGGAATCTGATCACAGTTTAATTTCAGTGCAAAACGCTGTCTCGCAATCAATAAAGCAATGTCAAAGAACTTAGATTTAATAGGAGCCGGAGATAACATTCCCTTGTCATATGCAGAATAGAGAGATGGGAACGTTTCATTTCATTGCAAGAGATAGAATGCAAGCGTGCTTTCAGAGGAACCTAGTAAATCAATACCAGTGTATTACCTAAGGAAGATCCCATCATTAATTTTGAACACTTAACACGTTGTGAAAGTCTGGAGCACACCTTTAGCTTAGCCATGTTCAGCCCAAAGCCAGCATCAAACTTCCATTTCCCTAAGAACAAGAATCTTAGGAAGTTAGGAGTCATTTAATGAGGAATGAAAGTGACATATGTCCAGTCTGCTGTTTTATATGTAGTCAGCTTCCTCTTACGTGCTGCCTTCCCATTGAAACTCCCGTGCCTGTTCTGTGGGAGCCACATTACCTGTCACTGCCTCACATGCACACGGCCCTTTCTCCTCCATACGCACGCATCCTCTCTGGTTCTGAATTTTAAATTGTTCTTTAAGCTCTTAAAAATAACCGGTTGTTTAGAGATTGCCTGGATACCACGCTGCTTCTCAAAATGTGCTTTTCTCCAAACCAGCAGGAATCTGGACCTCAAAAGAATTCTCTGCGGCTTTGCCTGCTCTCAGAAATATCCCTGGATTAGTGGGGAGCAGGGCGATACATCAGAGGGTGGGAATTCAAACTAATAGGTTGGGTTGGAGAACCTTTTCAAGGACATTATTCTGAGTAGAACTGCTTCAACGTTACTTTGGTAATGGTAATTATATCAGAGTGTGAAGGATGCTAGTACCTGGTGTTGCTGTCTGGCCAAAACACGCTTCATAGGATCTTAGAGTCGTTAAGGCTGGAAAAGTGCACTAAGATCATCTGGTCCAGCCATTGATCCATCACCACCAAGCTTACTGTGCTTTTTTGGAGTTCTTTTACTGCTTTAAGTGAAACCTCACCTGCTGCTTAGTGCTATAGAGATAAAGCGACCCTGCTGTCGATTTGCAGAGATTGGATCTCTCACCCCTCATCCTGCAGTCTGTCCTCAGAGTTGCTCTGTGGGAAGCTGCTGTGCTCTCTTCCTATTCCTACCAACAGGGATTCTGTACCTACAAAGGGCTGTTTACCTTCTAATTAGGTAGCGATATGTGTTAATTGAATTATATCTCACCTGAAGATACAAAGAAAAATATTCAGTTGATGCTTTTTTTGTCAAATTATTAAAAATAAGTCACGTTTGGCCAGATTTTGAAAAAGGAGTAGGCATAAATAGTTCAGATGTTAATTGATTTTGACACCAGGGAATGCTCGTGTTTTTAATTCCTTAGGTGCATTGAGATCCAGGTGAAGCACTGATGGAAGGAAACGATACAGATTTAATGGAACATTTTGATGGGTATTTCTTGCGTGTTTCCTTCTTTTTTAATAGCTACTACAGCACCACCACGCAGTTCACGAGATATCGTACATCGCAAAGGATATCACAGACCACCGAGCGTTTGGATATGTGTGTGGAAAGGAGGGAAATCATCGATTTGTGGCAATAAAAACAGCCCAGGCAGTGAGTATCAGATAATTGTCTTTTTTTTCATCGTAGTTCATAGAAGGCTTCATAGCTAATCATATCACAGAATCATAGAATGGCCTGGGTTGAAAAGGACCACAATGCTCATCCAATTCCAACCCCCTGCTATGTGCAGGGTCGCCAACCAGCAGACCAGGCTGCCCAGAGCCACGTCCAGCCTGGCCTTGGATGCCTCCAGGGATGGGGCATCCACAACCTCCTTGGGCAACCTGTTCCAGTTCTTCACCACCCTCTGAGTGCAAAACTTCTTCCTGATATCTAACCTAAACCTCCCCTGTCTCAGTTTAAAACCATTCCCCCTTGTCCTATCACTGTCTACCCTCGTAAACATCCTTCCCCATCCTGTTTATACTCTCCCTTCAAGTACTGGAAGATCACAATGAGGTCTCCCTGGAGCCTTCTCCAATCTAAACAAGCCCAGTTTCCTCAACCTTTCTTCATAGGAGAGGTGCTCCAGCCCTCTGGTCCTCCTCTGGACCTGTTCCAAGAGCTCAGTTGAAAGGCCGTGTTCATAACCAGCCATTAAAGAGGCCCATCTCGGATTCTTTCTGTGTTTGGAGTCTGTTTAGATGTTCTTAAATGGCCAAGTAATGAAACCATTTTGGAAAAAAAGAAAAAATAATAATATATTTCACTATTTACAATTATTCTTGATGGTTTGTTTTGTTTTGTTTTGTTTTTTCCTCTATAGAAACCTTTCACACTGCTTCTATTTCCGTAGGCTGAACCTGTGATTCTGGACTTGCGAGATCTGTTTCAGCTCATCTATGAACTGAAACAAAGGGAAGAAATGGAAAAAAAGGCGCAAAAGGACAAGCAGTGTGAGCAGGCGGTGTACCAGGTACATGCATAAGCTTAGACTACCACCAAAAAAAAAGAAATGCAGTTTGAAGTATCCCCAAGAATTGCTCCAAAGAGGCACAGGGTATCCTCAGCATTTGTTGACAGTGGTAGGTTTGAATGAAAAATGTGAATCTAAGAGCTATGGTGAGCTCAGAGGTAGGATTAAACAGTGATGAAAGGGGTCACCTTGGGTGAGATGAACATGCTTGGCAACTTGAAATGTCCTGCTCATTTTCCAAGAGTTTCTTCTAGTTGAAAACTTGAATGAAGGCCACTGTGTTGCAAGTCGTGCTGTTAACATCTTTTACTTTAGAGATGATTCGTTAAACTTCTGAATGCGTGCATTTAAGTCAAATCAAATCAGGTACAGGTTGCTAAACTCTCATGAAACAAGAATAGTGTTACTTTGTAGAATAACTTGACTTTATTTGCATACTAAAGAAAGAGAACTATATACTTACCTGCACATTTTGCTTAGTTCTTTGCTGTCCTTTAGTTTCTGAATACAGTTCTTTTATCTCTGCCGTTTATGTTCTTTGCTTTTACTGCCTGTCCTCTTACTTTGCTGTAGACAATTTTGGAAGAAGATGTAGAAGACCCTGTATACCAGGTAATTTCTGAAGCTGCACGACCTGGGAGTTTCAGAAATGACTAGATATATGTTATCTTCCAACACAGCCGAAGCCTTTCACATAATGTTTTGAAATGTATTGAGATAGATCTCATGAGGGACTACATTTTACAGCAAGTAGCCCGTTTAGGGATTAAGATGTAATAGCACAGCATTTCTGCATAGAAATATTAGATTGAATCTTTCCTAAAATGTACTTTTCGAGTCCAGATTTGAAGTTTCCAACTGAGATTTGTCATTATTTCCTTATTTTTTTAACACACTATCTAACAGAAAAGAGAGTTCCCTCGAAAATAAGGAAGATGACACCTTGTTTTTATAGCAATAAATTGTCATCTTGTTGTTGGCTTCTATGCAGCCAGAATTTCATTCAGAAAGTGAATATTTGTTAAAAAGAAACACAGAGGAATTAATGTTATAATGCTCTCCCTTGTTGGCATTTTGGGTTATGATTTAATAATAAATCTGTAGCTTAAGTCTTGTTTCATCCAAGCAAAATGCCTGGGAGTAAAGATAATTATCAGAAATATGTCAATATATTCATGTCCAATATCCTGCTGAGTGTGAAGAAGAAAAAGATGTAATTTCATTCTCGTGTTTTTGTGCTGAGATTTGTGTTTTGTGGAGATTTTGTGTTCTTCCACTTAAAAATACCAGTTGGAGGCACACTGAAAGAAACCAATTCAAGCATTAGTGACTATTGAGCACTGTCTAAGGTGTTTCAAGGAAGATGAGAAGAATTAGGATGCCCTAAATTACGGTTCGGCTTTTATAATATCAGGAGTTTTACTTTATATGTTCCTCATTATAAAACAAGAACCTGAAGATGAAAAGTGTTGTGGCAGCCTTTCACCATGTGGTATGTTGCACGAGCTCCAGCCTATTCTCCCAGTTTGGATTTAGCTTTTTTATTCATAGCTAATAAATACGTATGGAAATAATTGCCATTATGTAAAAGAGGCAAAATTCACGTTGACTTCAGAAAATTAATATTGGGCCACAGGCTGTATCCCTAGTGAGAAAGAATTAGGAAGCTGCTCTAATGATCATTAGAGGAGATTTAGGTCTATTCTCTGCTGGTTTATGAAATATGAAACAACCTTACTCTGTGCTTTCCAACAAACCAGTTGTCTGGTTCCATTCAGCCTTTACTTTGAACTTGTTTCTTTAATGCCTGCCTGTGTTTTTATGTGGAATTCCAAATTGCCTTTTTCCCTCTGTTTCATCTTTGACTTTTCCTCTCTGGCTGCTGGTGTAATAGTACATTGTGTTTGAGGCTGGACATGAGCCAATCCGTGAGCCTGAAACAGAAGAAAACATTTATCAGGTATAAAATCACTGCTTCTGTGTTTTCATTGCAACAATTGCGAGCATTTAGTGACGCACATTTCATATATAATTCACTTTTATTAGTTTTCATTCATCACAAAAAATGTCTGACATTTCATTCTTACGACCTTACATGAATAATCTGCCAGTCTCCGTGTATTTATTTGTTTGTCTGTTCAGCTTCTGCAGGTTTGATTGACTTTATCTGTAAGTTTTGCCAAATTATGAAGGGTCTTAAACTTTGAGCACACCATATAAGGTGATTATTGGTAGGTTCTCTTTTCTCCTTTTAATTCTTAGAAACTTTTTACAGCTGGTCTAAGAAACTGAAGTGAAATCTCATCGAGACCATCTAATTAATTCTTAGGCATTTTATTTTCTTCATTTTTTGGCTAAGCAAGGATAACAACTGAGCAAAACATAAGACTTATCAATAGATATCCCCCATACTAGAGAAAATATTTGCATTGTGTATATATTATGTTAGAGCTCGAGCTCGTGTTCTTCACAAAAGAATTGCATTGAAAGCAATATAAAATAATCTTTAGTCGTTCAATTTCTCCACAAGGGATCAGTGCAGCGTTTATTAAAATGTAACATAATTCATTCTGTATCACATACTAGGAACCAATCTGGAAATAGACAGAAATCTCTCCATGCTGTAAGAAAACTGTGATTTGAGGAAATCTTTTGGTATGGAGGGGAAGGAGATCCAAGAAGTGATTAAACATTTCATCTGGCTGTGCTAGGGGTTGATCTGTTAATAGGAGAAGCTTTTTTGAGGTAGACAGGAGCAGGGAAAGAACAAAAATGAGGAAAAGAGTTTATTAAGTCATGAGAAGAGGTAGGAAGATAATAGAATAAAATGAACAGGTAGAATAGCTGTAAAACAGAACAGAAAGAAACTAAATTGGGAAAGGGAAATGAGAATGAAAAATTAGAAAACAGCAATCTTGTAGACACCATTACAGGGTCATTAAGGTGAAGTTTGCATAACCTGTTTCTGTAGGTTTCGTGGCATCCCTGCCGTGCAAAATAATGTACGCATTACATCCATAGAGCAAAGCATTCAGGGCTCCCAAAGTGAGAGCTTGCCTAAGGTTGAATATTTTCTACCACATAGTGCTGAAAGGTTGGCTATTCTCAGAAAAAAACTCTTATAAAATGACTACTTTAGTTGTCAGTTTTGTGCTAGAAACAAAACTCCAATGATAACAACATTCAGACAGAAAATTCGGATAGTTCTTCACCAGAGCACAAACAAAGCTTGGAGGGAGGTTGTGAAGAAGTATCAGTGAAAGCAAGCACAAATGGGGTTGTCAGTCCAAGGGTTTGCAGATCTAAAGCTGACTGGTGGATGTGGAAGAAGTAGGATGTATATCCTGAGGAGCTGGGTAGAGAACAGGAACTCAGCTAGAGAACAGAAGCACTCATTGGATGTTCACGTAAAATGGAAATATAAGATGGGAAACAGATTGTGAGTTACTCATCTCAAGGTTACTGGCCTGTAAGTCACCAGAGACTCGTTCAAGGTTTCATTTGACAGTCTTGGGATGCGAAGCGTTTTCTCCCACAGAAGATACGCAGAAGTGCACTGAAAATACTTGTGATAAATAATACACCATAATCTAGGTGTATGCAGTCTAGCATTGTCCTGCTCTTTATTTACTGCAAGCAATACCTTGAAAAGAGCAAATGCTGAGATTAGATACCAGCAGGTCTTATTCTGTGATCTATCACAACGGGCAGATGCTGAAGTATAGCTGCCATAGACTTGCCTAGAGCCACTGGCTCCCAAGTTCCCACATACTTCATGGCTTGCTATAAATCTGGGATTCCACATCTTACACTGAGATCACCAGAAAAATTGTTTCTCTTAGAAGGTCTTGACGAATGTAGAACCATCCAGGTTTATATTAAAAGGGAAATTGGAAAAGGTCCTCTTTGTCGTTTTGTTTTTTGGTTGGTACCAATCCTCAGTTGCCTCATGGCTCCTCACCTCAGCCTGGCAAAATCTGGTTCTGCTCTGTTTTTTTCAACCAAGAGCTGGTACTCAAAAAGTTCTACTCTCCCATGGTAGAAGAGATTCCTACCCAATGAGTAGCTGAAGATGGAAGATAAATACTGAATGTGATAATCTCTAGTTTTGTTTAATATAGTGGAGGTCTCAACTTCCTTTCTTCTCTCTCTGTCTACCGCCTTTCTTTGATACATTATCCCAAAAGCTACATCTGTTTGCTCTTTTAATCCCATCTGTCTACATAATGTATTAGTTAGAATCATTTAAGTTGGAAAATACCTTCAAGGTCATCAAGGCAACCATCAAGAATTAATCACTGAGCTTGAATTGATCACTGAGCATCCACCTATCTTCTCTCTAGTGTCAGATTTCTTAATGGCATCTCTTTACCTGTCTGTTTTATAATAGTGAGATGGGGATGGGATTTTGCTGTGTATTTTCGTATTGTTTATGTTGAGCACTGCTCTGTATGGAGGGGCAAGATCTGTGCTGCAAGGAGATGACAATCTAAGGCCAGGGTTTTGAGTTGTGGTGTTCATGTTCCTGTAAGATGCAAGTACATCAAACTGGTTTGCAAACTGTCCTAGAGGCAGAGCTGTCAGCAGCACCGGTGCTTCTAGCACTATGCTGATATGGGCAAGCAAAGAAAAAATGAAGAAGAGCTGAGAGGAGGAACAAGAGAATGACTGCAGGGGAAGCTTTCCAGGGAGAAAATAAAAATTCCGTACTGATTATAGTTTATGAATAGTTAATCTCACAGCATTTGTCCTCTCTTCAAGGAAGACTAAGCATTCCAGTAACTTATGAAATACAGTATTCATGGTTTTGCACAGTCGCCTACCAGTCTGTGAAGAGAGACCCTTTTCCTATTAGACTGAATTGTTCCATTCTCACCAGTCTCGCATACCTCATATGACATGTGGCTTTAGAGGAAAAGACCAGTACTTTCAGAAAACTGAGGGAAACAAGTCATTCCTGGGACAGGAACAGAAAAGAAGTCTTAAAAATGTGCCTGAAATAATAAATTGCATTCTGGTTCTGTATTTATGCTTCTTGATTGCTCTTGAAAAGCTTCTTCCATGTGCACTGTGTTAAAGTTTCAACACTTAAATGTGAGCATGCAGGTGGTAGAACAGTAGAGAGGCCTTTGGATATAGAAACTAGGAAATAATTATGCAGCTCTGTGAATAAACAGTTCCTTCAGCTTTCCCTAAAATAGACCTACGCTCGTATCAAAGCTCCAAGGTATTTATTGTCTTAGAAAACAAAAGGATCTGTCAAATCTGTAGGATTATTTCTGCTGTTAACCTATGAGGTTTCATAGATGTTTGAAATGTAACCTTAGGTTGAGTGCCTTTGTTCAGTGGAAAAGCAGCGCCGATTTACTTGGAGCACGTGTGTCTATTTAGAGCCTCTGGTTTTTTTTACTGTTCTTTTAGCTTGTGTCATTTACAATAGGCATTTAGTGCTTTTAGGAAGGAGAAGAAATACAGTCGCAAATTATAAATATGTAAAACAGCAGTCCTTAGGCATGCTAAGCCCAGTATTACAGAGCAAATGAATTCACACGAGTAGGATGTAAATGCCCACGGTGTAAATTATGACTGTTGACTCACTTAGTTTATTTAATTGTATCATCATCGTCCCTATCCACAAGAGAGGTTGTTGACTCCAGCTCCCTGGCTGCGAGTGGCTGTGCAGCCTCACACCCTGACAGGTCGTAATTCTTTACAGAATTGCAGATTTGTGACCAACCATCACTTAGAGCAGCCCATGGGACCCAATCACTGCAGGGATACATGTTGTGGCTTCACTTGACTTAGATTATTAAAAGAATTGGAAGGAAGATATCAAATGCCATAGGCCAAACATCTCATTGATTGCACTGCTGCTCTGGATCTCTTTTACAGAGGAAGATGACATTCTGGCCTGATCGTAACTCCCATGTCCATCTTCTAACCCCCAAGTAAAATGATTAAGCAACCACTTTTGTAGGAAAGAGATCCAAATGCACCTGGATTTCATGCAGCTGAACTAAACTGAGAATGAAAATCTCATCTCTGAGCACTACTGAGTTTTAGGCTTTTAAAAATTCAGATAGATGTTCTATTTCTTCAGTGCCATCTTCATCAACATCGCTGCTTGAATGTCAAGGATACCATCCTTAAACAACTGCCTTGTATTTAAATATCAGTTGCAGACTTTGACTTTTCACCAAACCTGCTGGAAGAGTGACCATAGTGTATGTTTGCTGTTGCAGGTTCCTACCAGCCAAAAGAAGGAAGGTGTTTATGATGTGCCAAAAAGTCAACCTGTAAGTGTAAGTATCTTCATTATTTATATGCAGGAAAGAAGGTATGGTTCTTAGTTTCTGTGACCTTTATTATTGCTTGTAGTGTTTGCCACATCCCTTAGGATGTGAATTTCATCAGCGATCTGCTGTTGTTGGGTTGTTTCAAAGTAACCAGGGTGGCAATGTCACTTATATCCATCTCATTCATTACTTGCATCTCCTCCTTTTTGTCTTTTCTGGCTGATTCCTATGCAAGTTTATAAAAGTGATGTCTAGTTAAGAGTTGACAGTGAGCCTTCTGCGTGTTAATGCATGATTTTTTGCTGCTTGGATCAGGAGAGTTATTCCATTGCCCAAAGCTATAGAAGGCTTGTCACCCTTTCTCACTGCTACAGTCACATAGCACGTGCCAACTGGACGTGGCTGTGTTTTCTCCCCCTGCACTCCCAAAGGTTTCCTCCCAAACGGCTGTTATATTTCTGTAATGCTTGAAGTACCTAACAGGCATAACATTATCAATAGAGATGGTAGACTGAATTCTTTCAGCTTTGTGCCTTGCATGGACAGTTGATTTTGCTCGAAAAGGAGGGTAATGCACTGTTCTGTCCAAATGGCACCGTTCCCTTTCTGCATCTGAGCATCTAGAAGTGGTGAAACATTTATCCTCTGAACATATAAGGAATGGTAACAAGCTGGTAAGAGAAGTGGAATGACAGATGCCTTAGCAAGAAAACATACATTTGCTGAAGGGTGGGTTGTGTTATTTCGTATACATTTGTGTAAATGAAACAATGTCTTGATAAAATGTAGATTGTGTTGGTTACACAGAAAATGCGTATTTCTGAGGATCTGTGTGTGAAAAATGGAGGAAAAGGTCAGGATTTCAGACTGCTGTAAGCATGGCAGAAATGCCTGTGTTCAGGAGAGGAAAAGAGAGGGGCTCATTTCACAGAAGGATGTGGTAAATTGCACAGCTTGGGCTGAGCACAGAGACTGAGATGCCAAATAAAAAAGATAAATGCTGGGGAGGGGCTGGATGGGGGTCTGAATTGTGACACTTCTGAGGTTTGCACAAACAAACAAAACTTGCCATAAATATTTCATGATAATCCACTAGGAGGAGGGAGCCATCATCTTGTTGGCTGGGAAAATGTAGGAAGATAACTCACATTGCATAGCTAATTAAAGGTATTCGTGGACCAGGAATAGCTGTAGATTTTTCACTCATTTCTCACATAGCTCAGTGTTAGAGTTTTTCCTCTGTATGTTTCATGTGACTTTTTTTATTATTCCTTCAGTGATGTTTCAGATTTACTCTGGGTATAGTCTGTAATTTAGGTCATTGCAGTGTAACTGTGTGTACTGTATACTTGCAATCATGCCTGCAGACACTTTGGTATTAGTCTGTCCTGGTAAAGAGCATAGCTGTGAGATATAAGGAGTATGGAACCGACTCTGTAATCATCAAATGTATTAAATGTGTCATCTCTATGGAGCGTGTTGCAGACTTAATTTTTTGTTATTTCATGGTTATATTAAAGCTGGTTAAACCTCTTCCTCCAAACAAGTTTCTACTTTAATTGATAAGAGGAAAAAAGAAAAAAGGGAAGAGGGAGAAACACGTAGCGGAGATTTTATTCCCCCTTTTTATAGAAATATGTATTAAAAAAAAAAAAAAAAGAGGAAAGAAAAGCAGAGATCGCTCTTAAAATTAGCAATTTAATATTCCACTGCCCATCTGATTTATTGCTCACCCTTCCGTGTGTGAGACTCTCTGTCATTGAGACACTTGCCATATATTTTTTTTCAATTTATAGCTGTCCTGATTATATAAACCTCTAAAATTCAATCTGAGGGCAAATAATCTAGCTCATCTACCTGGTTTAAACTTATAAGGACACTTCCTTTATTAGGAGGTCTTGCTTTCATTAATTTCATAATGGATGAGGGAAGAGAGAAACTTTTTGTAGCTCCTAATAGGTTTCAGGCACCATGAATTCTCTCTCCTGACAATAAATGCAACACTTAATAAAAATGCAGCAAGTTTTGCTCAAGTTCAGGCTGAATTACCCACGTTCCCTAGATAGAGATTGATTTTCCATCTTGGGGTTGTTTTCCTCTGATGTGTTCTCAGGCAAATTATCTGTAGCTTCAGCACATCAAGGTGGGGGCATGGAGCTGGTCATCTTGGTGCCATCCACCTTTGGCTCTCTGTGAAGAGGAGAGAAATAGGCACCTCCAGGAATGTCCTCCTGTCTTGTGAGGTGTCCCTCTCAAGTGGAGGTGAGAGTATGTCCAGATATGTCTCACTGTCATTCCCTCATGGCTCTGGAGGAGCTAGATTTAAAGGATGTGAAGGAATGATAAGGAACTGACTTTCACATAGTTAGGCTTAGTTGGGATGAGTTCTATAATGTTGAGCATAAAAGGCAGAATGCAGCTCAGTTTCTCCCAGAACCCAGTTTTCTTCCTATATCTGTATCTCCCTTCCTCTGTATTGAGGACTCTTGTATCTTGTGCTCATTCTCATTTCCTCTTTGTTCCTTCCTTAGACAGATTCTTATATTCCCAGTTCAATGGGGGTAGGCATCAAGCAGACAAAGAAAGCAAGCTTACCCCAAAGAGCTTGTGTTAAGTGGTACATGCTCCACTTAGAAATTGTAGTTCTGTAAGGGAAATTAACTGTTCTAAAAAAGTGAAATGTTTAATGAGCTCTTTTTGTTGTAATTTCCCATCGTCTCCCCCTTTATACATACACATCAAGTTCTACCTGTCATGGTGTGTTTAGTAATCAGATCCAGACTGTAAATACCCTTTACTGAGACTGTCAGTCACATCACAATAAAACCTTCTCATCAAAATGTCTAAACTCTCTGCTTACCATTTTATGAAGGCTTTCAAACAACTCGTCTTAACTGCTGTATAAAGATTCAAAGCGTTATAGCTGAAACCTCACAGTGCAGGCATCCATTTAGCTGTACCATCCACATGGGAAATACTCCCAAATGAGCACAGAGCAGGGAGTAGTTGGCTGTCTTAGGGCAAAGGGATGGGAAGACCAACAGCCCTACCCAGAGGGATGCTCACCGTGACTTCTAGTTGCAGATGAAGCTGGGCTGGACCAGAGCCCACCCAGGTCTTGGGACCACAAGGACTGCCTGGCCCTCCTGTCAAAATGGGGAGCTGTGTTTGGGAGGGCTATGTTTTATTTCTGGCTAGGAACACATTGACATTTGCAGATTTTTCAGATCCTATGTCAAAAGAAGCGTGCCTGGAAGGCATCATCTGGAAGCCATGGGCATGCCATCTCCAGCAGCTCACACAGAAGGTCTGGCCCTGGAGTAATGGCATCTCAAAATGTCTGGCAATAGAGCAGCTCAGAGCAGCTTTCCAGATGACTCTGATCCTCTAATAAGTGACTTTTTTCAGTGGCAGTTGGTGTGGAGAAAAGTTTTGTAACCATGCCTTTCCCATAAGTTTGCATCAGTATCCTTACTTTGCAAACTGGTGATGTTGACTTCAGCCTCTGCCATCAGCTTTTGAGATCCGATTTTCATACAGGAGAAGAAAGAGAGTGCACAGACCCAACCTCTTCCATCCATACCTGCAAAGCCTTCCCTTTCTGCTTACCTTTGCTGAAAGACTCCTGCAGTCAAATGCCTGACTTAACTGCATTCAGCCCAATCCCACGTCCAAGGCTTAACACTGAGCATGGATTTTTATCAGGCACAGCTAACTGTGGCAACATTTGAAAATACATTAGTTTGCTAGGGTAATGTCTTGAGTCTTGCATTTCTGTGACATTTGGGGAGGCATTTAGAGCAGTGGATATGCATACGTATCTTTGGAGTAGTCGTACATTGGCTGTTCTGATTTTTGTACAGCATTGGATACACTGAGATGCGTTGAGCTGGCATTAGGTGCCAGTCAAGGTCCGTCCCCTTTCTGTATTTATAAGATCATAGTATCATAGAATGCTTTGAGTTGGAAGGAACCTTTAAGATCATGTAGTTCCAACACCTCTGCAGTAAGCAGGGACACCTCCTTTTAGACCATCTTGCTCACAGCCCCATCCAGCCTGACCTTGAGTCCTTCCATGGAGGGAAAGGTTGAAGAGTTTTCACTACCATTTCCTATAAAAGGAAATACGTGAGCTACACGGGGAATTCAGAATGAAGTTAAGAGAAAATAAACAAATGATTAAGTGCGTGTTTTGATCACATCAAGAGATCCTTAATTTGAAGGAGGCTGTTGAGCAGCAGTGAGACAGTTTGTCAGTGTGTTGTCTGTAATCGGGAGCACTTCTTTGTTGAGTTATCACACTGCTCCATTAATCCCACAGCAGTTCTGTGGGATGACAGTGTGCCTGTTGGATATTAGCAGGTCTCAACCTACTGGCTGCAGTTTCACTGATTATTGGTTACTGAAAACCAAAAAAAAACATAAAACCATAACGGTCACAGTTCTGCTGTGCTCCTTCGTTAGAGTTCTAATTGTGTTTTTTAGAATGAATTGTAGTTAATTAGCAAGCAGCTTGCAGCTCTCGTGTAGTATCAGCATTCCTTGTGTATAAAGATGTGCAAATAACTGAAGCCTTGATGACCTAGAACAGTGGTTTGAACCACCAGAAAAAAATACTTGATATAGCCAAAATGTTTACATTCTCAACTGAAATGAAAAACATATATATCTTCAGGATCCATATTAACCATTGACTCGTCATTAAACCTTCCATGTGAAATGCATGTGGGGCTCAAAAGCACAGGGCAGCAGCATGGCCAGGCGAACCCTCTGTTATCTGTTGGGCCAAGAGGAGGGCAGGAAATGTGTGCAAATCCCTCTGCTGTGAGAGGATCTGAATAGCTAATACCCAGCTCAAAGGTTAATTGCTAATTGCTGGTTAATCAGTATATTTAGTATCCTACATACTCTTTTTTAACTTGCTGAGATCTGTATCAGAGTGCAAGATAATTACTGTGGGTTTTTTATTTTTTTATTTTTTTATTTTTTTTTAGCACCATGTTTGCTTCATTCTCTGGGATTTCAGAGCCATGCTTTAAGAGACTGCTTTTATCATCTCATCTGCAAAAGTTTAGCAATATTAATCAGGTCTTTTCCTGCTGCTGTAAGTCAGTGCTGGACCATTCCTTCGGTAAAACCAGGCTGACTATTCTGGCTCTTCCAGCTGTAGAACTGAAGCTAAAAAAATATGCTTCCCACTCTTAGATTTCCCTTTTAAACTCCAAACATTGCTTAGAAAAAGCTGTTTTTCAGAGCACTTGGCAGTCAGACAGGATACTGCAGTGGAGGTGGATCGTTTTTGGTTCAGGTTTATGAAAGCTGCAGTTCACTTATCTCTTAGTGCTTCTTTACTTCTGTGCTGTTGTTTTTTTTTGTTGTTTTTTTTCCCCCCAGCTCTTGGATTATGTATTTTTCTTTACTGAACAGTGAAAAGTGTTACGAGGAATTTCATTACTGGAGCTGGAGCGCTTTAAAAAAGCTTGCTGCTGCTTTAAGGAGCCAGATTTACATAGTTCATGTTTAGAAGATTTACAGTATGTCTCACACGCCTGTATGGGAAGATGGAGCTTTCATTACAGGTTTCGTGTCGCCCAGATACAAGGATTAATGCTCGCTCCTCCGCCTCACTCTGCGCGGATGGCAGCACGCTGCTCTGCTGCCTGAGCTTGTGTTAAGGAGACACGTTTTTGGGTAATGAAGGAGAGAAAGTCCAGAGGAACCCACAGAAGGCAAGATCGGGGGCTGGAGTGTCTTACCAGGCTCCTGGTTGTTTAATATCATCACAGCTTTGGGTTGGAAGGGACCCCAAAGCCCCCCTAGACCCACCCCTGCAGATGCGAGATGCAGCCCCACCTGGTAATGGTGTGCCTGCATTGTGCTGGGTCTCACTGCAGCACAAGTGGGAATTTCCAAGCGTTCTGCCTCCCTGCTGCATTCCCAAAGCCAACAAGGACTGGGATGAGATGCTGGGGGGGGACATTCTGAGCTATTTCTTAAGGCTTTCGGAGCTTATTTTGAAATGGGTTTACAGGATGGTGATTCCTGTGAAGCTTCTCAGTTGCCTAATGTTTGATTTTTTGATTGTTAAGATTCTTTCTTAGGGAAGTTCTCTATTGCTTCAATAAGTGTTGCCTGAGATTTGGCATTCTGAGGCACTTAGGTCGTGATTTGCCTTACATATGTCAGTGGGTAGAGAACCTGTGTGAGTATGTGGGCACACAAACAGTTGGCTCACGCATTCACACAGACACACAAAAAGAATTTAAATGCAGCTTGGTTTGTATAACTAATAAGAAATAACTGTGGCAAGAAAACCTGCATCATAAATGCTGTTACACTGATGTTATTCTCCTAGGCAAGAGGAAAGTGTGCTTTTCCACAAATTTGCTGTTAGAGTTTTGATTCACAACTGTATTTTTTTCCTCTGAGCATCTTAAGCCCTTCCTTTCCCCAAACCATTGGAAAGTTCCATTAATGTCATCAGAACCAGACTTCATTGCGTATGCTAATTGCTGAATTAAGAAACATCTGAAAAAGGAAATAGTAGGGATGCAAGCATTGGTGTTGTTGTATGCATCAGAAGATTTAGCATGGATAAATTGTGTTTTTCCCCCATCTTGCAGCATTTGAGCTCGTTTTGACTGTGTGATTTCATATCTGTATTCACTGCAAGATGGAAAGGGTTTTCATTTCAATAGTGGAGTCAATAATTACGGAGGTTATCATTTTCATGCTCAGAAATTCATGTCATTTTCATAAATCATTCATTTCATTTCATAAATCATGCTTTACAGCTGGAGAATGGAAACTTATTGCTGGACATTGATGAAAGTCTTGGTTCAGTCACTCAGGTAAGGTTGTGACACTAAAAATGTTTTAAGGAGATATAGATGAAATCAGCTGTAGAAATAGTGCCATCTGAAAATGTTATGCTTGGGATTAACTTTGCTGGAACTTAGCTAATATATCAGATGTAAAGAATTTAAGTCTAACGGGTGCATTTGGTTGTGTAGTGAGACTGAAATCACAAAAGTAAAAGGTGGTGGCCAGAATCCCACCGTCTGCAGATAGATAACACTGTGTTTGTGGGGACAGCTCTACAAAAAGCTCAGCACTGATACAGGGAGGGAAACAAAAGCAGATCTAGGGGTGATGCTGAACACACCATTTAGAGGGATGGGGAGAAAGTGGCCTCTTTTGAGGTATAGTGTCTCCTGGCCTCTTGAATCAGCAGCACCTACACAAGGCTTGGAGCAACTTCAGAAGAGTGCTGCCCTTGTCATCGTTCCAATCTGTGGGCATTGTAACTAGTGTGTGTGCCCACACTCTGGGTTGTTTGGGTTTTTTTTTTTTTGCAGTATGCAAGCAAGATTTTGGCCATGCACTCCAGAATTGTTGTTTTGGAGAAAGCATGGTTTTCTTCATTATTTCTTCTTCCATTTCCACGCAGATACTTACTATGATATATAGGCTCATATGAAGAAAATGCATTGTTTTATCACTAAAGCAATGTGATCTATTTAATACATGGCATGATGTGAGAAAACATTAAATAATTCATCCCTAGGTATGTTTTTAGACATAAAGCTGGAAGTTATCCAAGCTGCTATATAGATTCCAGCTGAAACTGATTGCATCATTCCTTTTGTAAGGGGAAACAGAGATGGGACTGCAAAAATGTACAAGCCTTTGAAACTATTATATATTGAACGATAGTCTTATTTTTTAAAAGAGCATTTATAATAAAAGTGTGGGGCAAGAAGATCTTTGGGTGTTTTTTCCCCTTTGTTATGCTCTAAAGCTGTGAAGACTGATCAGCTAGCATGGTGGTTAATGCAAGGGCTCAGTGTTGGCTAGATTTGCAGGTCAAGACTCAAGTTAATATCAAGTATATGTGAAAGGATGTTGCAGAGAGCTGAGATTTGATGAGCCAAGTTAATATTGCCACTAAATCTCATTCAGACCAAAAATTCTGGATTCCCATATGTGTGGGTATGATTGAGTACAGTGCAAAGGAGAAGGAAAGCCCACAGGCAGAAGAAAGGTGGTGGAGAATTATTCCTTGAGCTGCCACCATGGCATTCCTGTATATCCATCCTGCTAAGGACTGTAGATGGGTTTAGATTTTCCATGGAGCTCTGAGGTTTGGTGGCCCTGGACTCCAGCTGAGCTGATCAGGGGGGAAAACACCCAGCCAGGGGGGACATCCCTACATGTACGACTGCTTCTGCTGCCTTCCACCGAGGTCTCAACATGAGCACACGCAGACCTTGTGGTTATTTCTGTCCTTATAGTTCAGCCGTGAGCAGCTTCTTTCTAATTGTAAAGACTGGCCACGTTTTGTAGCTCTGCCCCGTACTGAAAACACCCATTACCTTAATCATCAGTGTTCCTTAGAATAATGGCCAGAGGTTGAGTGCTGGAATCAGGCTGTCCTGAAACTGACCCTTTGAGAGTGAAAGCCTCTCTGAGCGTTATATCCCTATGGGGGTCCTTCAGATTGCTGTATTAACCTTAATTAATATCTTACTCTAATTTCCAGTTAAAATATGAGGACTTTCATGCCAGTCATTTGGCAGAGTGAAGAATTGGGTAGAAGTGAGCAATTTTATTCCAAAGCATGTGACAGAGGTTTGATTATGCAGCCAGTCAAGGTGCTCCTTATTATGAAAGTGCTTTTTCCCCTCTGGTCCAGTTACGTGAGACTTGTATGGGTGACCTATTTTGAGATCAAACTGAAGGATGCCCTTAGAAAACACTTCCAACATGACTTCTATGTAGAGTTACAAACTCATAATAACCCAGTTGTGCATCCTCCTTCAAGTCCACTTATCCAGGTCACACCTGTCCCACGGGCAAGGCGAAATCAGGCAGCACTCTCAAAGTCCTTCCCTTCTGTATCCTTCTGTCACTTCCACAGTCTGCTGCCGTGTTTTAAGACCTTGATTTGGGGATTTAGAAAAGGAGCCAGGGAACAGAGCTGGCGGTAAATTGTGCTTGGTTTTCAGTGATGTTAAGGGCAGAGCAATAATGCATCCAGTCCCATTCAGAGTAGTTTTTCCATGCTTTATTCGTTTTTTAGGGAGGAGAATTCCCCATAGTATCATTTTTTAGCATCAGCTGCCATCTAGTTAGGTCCGTGGGCAGTATAAAAATCCCATAGTTTGAGTCCATGTGTTTCTTCTATATGGATCTGGACATTTGAAGCCTACATGGCTCTTTTGGTTTTGTATTGATGGCTGTTACTAGTTAACTTTACGAGTTGTTGTGAATTAACTTGCTCTTTCTTTTCCTTGAAAGGTAAATGGAGATGTTTTTTTCTTTTATCTTTGCAGGCTGTTACCCAACTAGAGCTTTTTGGGGACATGTCCACTCCTCCCGATGTAACCTCTCCCCCAGTAAGTATCAGGGAAACTGGATGGAATCTTTTCCTACATCCTATTTTCAGCACGTTTATGGAGCATGTTTACAATTCAGGTCATTGGCCATTGCAGTAGGGAGGATTTCGAAGTAGTTTTTATGTTCCAAGAAAATAAAAGTGAAGCAAATTGAATGTGGAATCACTGGTTCTTGAAGAAGTGCAAAAATATCTTCAATTTTTATCTATCTGATATAGGGCTAGGTGTCACATAAGATATAATCTGAACTGCAGATCTCCTTCCCTGGTGTTTATCAGAGCTGCATGCTTCACTGCTCTCTGTCTTGAGCTCCCTGTCTCTCTCCTGTGCTGCAGCAAGATCCAGTAACAGCTGATATATCACAACTCCTTGATCCCACCAAGCACGTAGCCCAGAACTGCTATTACAGGAAGACTAAAGAGTAAAGAGAGGGAGGGCTGAATGTGTTTTGAGAGGAATGAAAGCATTCTCAACAGGGTTTTTTTTTTGCATCGTAAGATGAAAACACAGTCATTTTCCTACTGTATTTTTGAACCTTATGTTAAGCTGTAGGGGAGTATGAATATACTGAGAAAGTGGAGGTGCTCTGAAATCACCAGGCTCAGATCTCCAAGGTATTCTGGAAGATGTTTGTGACTAGATACTCAAAGTCCTGTCTCCCTGCCCTTAGCTTGCTCAGTTAGATTGTGTTTCTCCTTTAATGTGGACCTATGGCTCTGGTCCTGTTGGTTGATTGGAAGCACTGTTATATCTTGCAGATATTTCATTTACCTTTACTGCTTTTCTACATTAATGCCTAAGTCTGTAGCTTATACAGGCTGTCACCTAATGGCTAGAGTCACAAGTCTATATATTGATATTTGTGTGTGATATAGTCCAGACCAAGCTCATTTTTATTTTCCTCTGGTACAAATTCTCTCTCATTTTCTTTTTCTCCTGTCTCCAGCACATTCTAATACTCTTTATTTCTATTGCTTTTCTCCTTCTACATCTTTCCATTCTTTTTTCTTTCACTTCCTTCCTTCTAAAACTGTGAGCTTCAGAGGAGCAGCAGCAAGTACATGCTGCAGCTGATATGTATCGTTTCATTTTATTCCTGTCCCATTGCAGACTCCTGCTACTCCAGGTGATGCCTTTATCCCATCTTCATCCCAGTCACTTCCTGCTAGTACAGACATGTTTGGTTCTGTACCTTTCAGCACTGCTGCCGTACCCTCAGGTAAGAAATCTACCAGAAATAATTTACCAGAAATATGGGTTAGGCTCAAATTTGGTCACCAGTTCCCAGCTCTGGCTTGCATTTCAATCCTCAGGGCATTCATTTTGTCCAGTGGAAGTGGGAAGGATTTTGAGGACAGTGCTGCCGGGCAAGGCAAAACGATTCTTTAACAAGCCAAAAATACATGATTGTGAATTTATTGACATGATTAAAAGCAAAACCCAAAAATGTCACTGGAAGTTCAGCAGCAGTTAAGCCACCTGTATAACATACCTTCTAAGCTGCAAGAGAGAGAAAAGTAGCTGATTTAGCCCTGGTTTCATTGCAATTACAATGAATATCTTCTGCTGTCTTTGGTAAACAGAGAATGAAACATGAAGGATTTGATTACATTTCCAAAGTACTCCATTTATGTACACCCTGGTGTTTCCCGTAGACTTTTCTGTGTTCCTTAAAGTGCTCAAAATTCAAAAGCCATATAACATTCTGCACAGACACGCAAGGAATTGGGTTTTGACTGCTGATCTCTCCCTGGGATACTCAGAGCACTGCAAGACAGCTCTCAACTCCATTTAGGAAGGAGGAGTGCCTTGAATCATTCAACAGTGACTTCCTAATTGGTTAACTCCTTAACAGATGGGTTGTGTTGCAGTATCAGATTAGCCACCTGTATAATCAATGAAAATTATATAAAGGAATATTATGTAATCAAATAATATTAAGATGTTATAATAATGAAATAAGCAAGAGAGCTAGACACAGTAAGACAAAGAGGAAAAATAGGATGCTTACCCATGTCATGGGCTCGCTCAGGAAAGACCAGTGGAGTGGATCTTCCAAAGAGAAAGAGATCCTTCCCCCTGGTAGTCAGCTCTTAAATGGGTCTAGGAGAGATGGAGCCAGGCTCCACCCCTTCCTGCAGCACAGGTGAATTGCTTTCACCTGTGCTCCCAGGGCTGACTCATTGCTCACCTCAGGTGATCAATCAGAGGTTCAGGCCATGACTCAGCAGTTCCCATACACTCCACCCCTTCACAGCATGAACCAATGATCAGGTTAACTAATGGGTAAGCTTTTCCTAATACAGAGACCCCACTTATATCACGACGCTTATACAATTTCCATCGTGACGCATGTTGGTACAATTCAAGACAACTGACGATTGGTGAAGGTTGATATTCTTGTATGGACCAGTGCTCGATGAAGTTACTGGAGGCATGCGGTCGTCAGGTGCAGGTCCGCCTTATGTTCCATCAGTCCCATACAGGCCATCAGTGGGTGTTGCACATGATCTGACTGTAACACTGGAACACTTTGATGGCATTTCATTCCTTCTGGTGATCCTGAAAGCTTGAAGACTCACGGGGAGTAATACAGATGTTTCAGGGGTACCAGGAGGGGAAGGTCTGCTCTCCAGGGCAAGATACAGGCCATATTTCTATCCTGGGTCAACACTTCCGCTTGTACTAGGGCATGTCCTGGCTGCCTGTATCACACCTTCTGGCCAGATATCTGTGGCTGCATAAATGTCAGGCACCAAAGGAGGTGTCCTGATCTGCCACAGGGACATGATGGGGGTCCCTTTAGCAATGAAGATCGGAGTGTTGACCACAATATCAGCCATGTACCTAGTA